GCTCAGCCTGCTTTCTTATACAACATAGGACCACCTGCCAAGGGTGGGGGGGCACCACCCATAGTGGGCTTAGCCCTCCCACATCACTCAGCAATCAAGAAAATGCCTCACAGACATGCCGAAAAGGCCAGTGTAATAGAAATAATTCCCCAATTGAGGTTCCCTCTTCCCAAGTGTGTCAAATTGAAAACTAAAGCTATACAGGACAATATCCTACCTTTAGGTGCCACACTGAATCCTTCTTTCCCTAAACCAAATGGCTTACTGCAAGCCTCAGACTATAGAAAGCCTGGTTTGAGGATGGAGCCATACCAGCACTGCAGCTGATATGAGAGACTTTGATTAAACTACCAGAAAATCTGCCTGCCATTTCTATTAGACATGAGCAAAGCAGCATGTAGCCCAGAAGATACTGTTGTCATCTTTGAACCACAAATTAAATGTCCTGAACAAGATTGAATACAAACTGTGACTGAATCAAGAGACAGAGAGAAAACTTAGGCTCTAAACAAAGTCCTGTCTGAAGACCTGATCTAAAAATTTATGTCTTTAATCAGAGTAAATCTTACACTCACTTGCACTGAAATAGCTCCTTGCTGATACATAACATAGTATTTGTTGGGGGCTGGAGAGATGCCTCAGTGGTGAAACTCAGTGACTGTTCTTGAAGAAGGCCCAGGTTCAAATCCTAACATCCATATGGAGGCTAACAACTGTCTGTAACTCCAGTTCCAGGGGATTCAACATCCTCTTCTGTCTTCTATGGGCACTGCATGACATGACACAGGTACATTTACACACATGCAGACATAATACTCATACACATAAAATAAAAATAAATAAATTTTAAAAATAACATGGTAGGGGCTGGAGAGATGGCTCAGCAGTTAAGAACACTGGCTGTTTTTGAAGAAGACCCAGGTTCGAATCCCAGGACCTACATGGCAGCTAACAACTGCACATAACTTCAGTTCCAGGGGATCCGACAACCTCTTCTGTCCTCCACGGGCATTGCATGATATGGGTGCACTTACCTACATGCAGGCAATACACGCATACTCATAAAATAAAAATAGTAAATAAAATATATAAGAATAACACGGTATTCATATCTTTAGATGAAGTGATTACATGAAGAAAGTAAATATCCTTAGCCCTTCTCATGACATTATGTATCTATATGCCAGACTGTCAGAAAGAAACCTTGCTATAGGCTAAAACTTTTACTGTATACTTTTATATATATAGTTTACTTAGAACTATACCTTGTAAGTAGGGAGTGGGTAGTGAGTTCTTAATATAGTTTTGCTTAATTGAATTGGTCAGGGATTATACAAGATTGTGCAAGTGAAGTCAATTAGAGTAAATCCTCCTTCTCTTCTTTGGCCAAACAGCAAATTTGAATTCATCTGTTGCCACTTGTAAATGTCCCAGGGAAAAAAAGAAGTGATGCAATATGGTTGTGAGCCCAACAATCCAGTCTCTAAATTAGAGAAGGTTGGTGTTTTCTGCTGGGACAGAGTGAAAATGATCCTTGGTCTTATACTTGGCGTAAAAGCTGAGGAAACTCTCCTTTGGCCTCTGTTTTCATGATGCAAAGTATCTAGAGCAGAACTAAAATGTGCACTCAACACGAACATGCTACGAGAAGTCTACACATGTGATTTCACATCAGCTACAGAGCCAGGTAGTCAATTAGGCCTTTCATTGTCTGTCCAGGAGTTTGGACCGTTAATGACAGTAAGAGTGATGACAAGTCTGACCGCTGCAGGACTGAGTGGCACTGTGTGTATCTGAATGAAAGCAGCCCTTTGTGGTGTAGAGAGAGACACATATAGAGCACTGGAAACTCAGTGTGAGTGGTTCAATTACACCTCAAGGGAAAAATAGCGATAACTGTAGAGACAGAAGAGCTGCTTGCTTCTGCTTTGCCATCTATTCCCTATTCTCCCCACCCTGTCATTATCCAAGATATAACATATGCTTGGTTGTTTTTACTTTAATTCTCCCTGTACTTCCCAGATTGAAAGCTCTAGGAAGCAAGGACTTGTCTCTATTTTTATTCATAACTATATTCCCAATATCTGAAACAGAACTTGATGCAAAGTCAAAGTTCAATGAATATTTATTGAACAAGTGAACGGCCTAGAGGATGACCATTTGACAATCAATTCATAAATCGAAACCTAAAATGGCCTAGTGGGAAAGACTCCAAGTTTTCTGAGAAGTCAGGAAACCCATTACAATTTTACATGTCTAGACACAGAGACACCCAGCTCACAGGACGCTGCATGGAAGCTGAAGTCACAATTCCCACATGTGCCTTTTGTCCATTGGGACCTTTAAGAGAGCTGCACCCAAGCCAGCATCTACAGCTCAGCCACCAGCAGCCGCTCAACCATCTGCTGTTCACTCACCTGCTTCTGTACCTTAGACCAGGCTGATGGTCCACAGGGCCCCTCGTCACTGGCCTTTAGTGAACATGGGTGAACATGAGCCCATAAAAGTATGACAACACTCACTTTCTGGAAGCCTAGCGAAGACAGTTTTGGTAATATGCCCAGAACCAGAGTGACAAACCCTGTGAGGGTTTCAATGTGGGCCTAAAACAGTTCAGACTTGCAAATGGATTAGTTCAGTCAAGAAGCTCAAGTTGAAGAAATTGGCTGTGATAGACAAGCTATTTTAGCATAAAAGTATAATTGACAGTGAAAGAATAAAGCCTTATGTTAAACCTCTCTTCTTCATGAGTTCATTGCTTGGAATTTGGTATTCTGATTGCGTTGTCTACTGAGAGGCTATAGAATTGGCAGTTGCACAAATATTTGGGTGGCTTCTTAAACCAGCTTTTATAATGTTACTGTCTGTGAATAAATTAGAATACAGTGATTTTTCTCCCCCAAAGTAAGATTTTTTTAACTTAATTTTAATCATTTTTGTGTGGTTTTTTTTCTTTTTCTTTTCTTCTTTTTTTCAGAGAAAATATTCACTGGTTAAAAAGCTAATCATTCAGTTGGATACAGTGCTCGCATTGTGTCCAAAAACAGGAGAGATACATTATTAGCAAAAAGAAAAGACTTACTTTTATCTGTTATAAAAAATAAACAGTTGATGCTTTGTATATCAACATACTTTTTCATATTTAGAACTACCCCAAGAGGTAAGTATTCTCTTCTTTTCAAAGATGGGGAAAGTGAGTGTCTTGTGGTTATATAAGGTAACCAAACTACATGGTAAGGCATATCCAGCATTAGAATCCAGATCTTACTGAAAGCCAATGGCATAACTGGTTTAAATTTTTTCTTCCATTATGTATGTGTATAAATATGCATATTTAGATATATATAGATAGCTTGTTTTCACTCTTCCCACTCAATTTCCAAATATTATCTAATAAACCCAGGTCCTCTGCAAGAGTAGTCAGTCCTTTTAACCACTAAGCTATCTCTCTAGCCCCACAAATTTTTAATAATGTGTATACTTCCATTTTAAAACAGATGGGATAATTTTTAAAACATTAAGACCCATTTTTTAAATGTCATGCTTTTAAAGGTATGCAGGAAAAAGACTGGAATGAGAGTCCCAAATGGTGATCTGCTTCCACCACGATTAAGAGGAGTGACTGCTCTTGCAGAGGACCTGGGTTTTATTCCCAGCACCCACATGGCAACTGACGCCAGTTCTAGGGGATCCAACCCCCTCTTATCATTGTATGACATGGGTGTATTTACACACATGCAAGCAATACACTCATATACATAAAATAAATATTTTTTCATTGGAAAATAGTGAAATGTATAATTAAAGTCATCTAGAATCCAGTGAGTCAAAAAAATCCCCATAGTTAATATTTTCATATATCCCTGTTAGTCTTTTTCCATCATTTTTTAAAAAATAGTTTGAGCTTATAATATACAATATTTTAAATTATTTTGATTTATTTATTTTATGTGTATGAGTGTTTTGCCTGCATATAAGTGCACTCATGTGTGCAATGCCCATGGAGGCCACAAGAGGGCCTTGGATCCCTGGAAACTGGAATTATGAATGGTTATTCGGTTTCTGTGAGGCACGCTTTCACTATGTAGCTCTAGCAGACCTGGAACTCACTATTCAGACCAGGCTGTCCTGGAAATCACAGAGATTCCCTCATTTCTGCCACCCATACCCTGCTCAACTTACTTTTAAATACTTGTACTTTCGTGGATGAACTACAATCTATGAGAGAGTAAACAATTTGCTTAACATTCTGCCTGAGGGTGAAAACACAGGGAGCGTAAGTATCTGAAAAGAAGCCCAGATGAAAAATATTAGGTTAAAAACTCAATACAGAGCCAGGCGTGGTGGTGCACGCCTTTAATTCCAGCACTCGGGAGGCAGAGGCAGGCGGATCTCTGTGAGTTCAAGGTAAGCCTGGTCCACATAGTGAGTTCCAGGACAGCTGGGGCTACAGGGAGACCCTGTCTCAAAAAGCCCCCCAAAAAAACAAAAAACAAAAAACAAAAAAAAAAAAACCTCAATACAGGAGCTTAGTATAAACAGTTTTTCATAAAATTAAACAAGTGACCTCAGCTGTTATTAAACTGGAAAATTCTACTTTTTTAGTTTATGATCGTAAGTCTATTAACAACCATGCACCAATCAATTTTCTATATTCATGTTTTCAAACATGTTGTTTCAAAGTTTTGTGTTTATAAATTTTTAATTAACAAACCACTTCCAAACAAAACTGCCATTTCCAAAACTTCAAGTTTGCCTTTGAAGGAAAACACTTTTAAAAAAATGTGTAAAAACATACGGGACAAATGCAACCTAACCTTAAATGTGTGAAACGACATATTTTTCAAAATAATCATCCTTTCCCTAAATTTATTATAGCAATCGGTTTTATGCTTCTGCTTTTCTCTTACTTTCCCTTTCAAGCTAAATCCTGCTTTACAGGGTCTGCCCTTCCAATTTTGGAAAATAAACCCTGTACCTTTAACAGCAGAGGCCTGGTGAGAGTTTTCTTTCCAAACTTGTTCCTGACTTCCAAGTGACGAAATCAGATGTAATTTGAGAGCCCCGAGATACTCGGGATATCTTTAGCCAAAGGAAAGGCTGTGTATTCCCACCCAGTCCGGGCGTTGAAATAGTGTCAGAACGCAAGAGCTTTTCTCTCTAGCTACGTGCTCGGTCTTCCTGGAGCCAGAGGCAAATCCGTGTAGGGCTACAGAGCCAGCGGGGTGCAGGAGCCCTGGTTCACACCCGGCCTGGCGATCCAACTGGGGAAAGCCGAGGTCCAGGCTCCTGCCAGGGGAGGGAAACCACAGCCAGCGCGGTGCACGAGCGCTTTCATCATCTCCCTACCCAGCCGCTGCTGTGCAGAGCCACATGAAGCCTGCGGGGGAAGAGGGGTCAGTGTGCAGCAAGCCTGCTGCGACTGAGGAGGGCGCTGTCTCTGGGAGCCACTGACGCCCAAGGGGAACCCATTTTCCTTGTTCCTAGACAGAAACTCTTCTCCCGGGACCCCTGGTTATCCTCACTATCCAGAATGGTGTTCCTGAAGTTCCTCTGGCTGGGTTTCTTCTGCCACCTGTGTCGGGGCTACTTTGATGGTCCGCTATACCCAGAAATGTCCAATGGGACTCTGCACCACTACTTCGTTCCGGACGGGGACTATGAGGAGAACGATGACCCAGAGAAATGCCAGCTGCTCTTCAGAGTGAGTGACCGCCGGCGCTGCTCCCAGGGAGAAGGGGGTCAGGCCAGTAGCTTCCTGAGCCTCACCCTCCGAGAGGAGTTCACAGTGTTGGGCCGCCAGGTGGAGGATGCTGGGCGCGTCCTGGAGGGCATCAGCAAGAGCATCTCCTACGACCTGGACGGGGAAGAGAGCTATGGCAAGTACCTGAGGCGGGAGTCCCACCAGATCGGGGATGCCTACTCCAACTCCGACAAGTCCCTCACTGAGCTGGAAAGCAAGTTCAAACAGGGCCAGGAGCAGGATAGCCGGCAGGAGAGCAGGCTCAACGAGGACTTTATGGGGATGCTGGTCCACACCAGGTCCTTGCTGAAGGAAACGCTGGACATCTCTGTGGGGCTGCGGGATAAATACGAGCTGCTGGCGCTCACTATCAGGAGCCACGGTACCCGGCTAGGTCGACTGAAAAACGACTATCTTAAAGTATAGGTGGAAGAGCTCAAATGTCAATCAGAGGGAACCAAGTCTGCCCTGTTGTGGAGGGTGGGGGACAGAGGACGGGCTAAATCTCCCTTAAAACTATTTTTTTATATCCAGACTTGCACTTTCAGAATGAATGTGAGGTCATCTTTTTAAAAAAGGAAAATTTTTAAGAGGTTGAGCTCTGGGTGTGGTTTTAGTTTTGTACATTATTTATGTTGTTACGGAATTCTTACCAGTAAAGAGCAATTTTCAAGTAATTCCCGGGGTCTTTCCTAGAGGTCTTTATAATCCTGCAGATAACTTCGTCTAAGAGATGTGTTTTGTGTGAAGGTGAAGGGACCCATTCAACTGCCTCATCCTGGAGATAGTGTGGCTCTATACGGAGGAGCACAGTGGATAGCGCCACGCACATTCAGCCTTCTCCTTTAGGATCTGAGGTGCCTGTTATTCAAAAGAGGTCCAAGGTGTTGCTGCATTGCATGCCTGCCAACCCATAGAAGTAGTTTGCTTTGCCTTTTCTCTCTTATTTATTTACCATGGTCTGAGTTGCTTCCCTTTTGTTGTAAGAGTGTTATGGAGACGTTCTATGCAAATCACCTTCTAGGAAGATTTGCAAGTTTCCCCTGTGGGATTGTGTAAATTCAGGAAGGAGTGTTTAAGAAATCAAAGCTTTGCCATGGTTGCCCACTGGTACTGATGCAGATTTGTTGTCTTTCACCATATGTTTCTGCTTTACCTTCAAAGGAACAGATTATTTGATGATATCCTTCAAATGCCTGTGATGTACATTTCTAGTCTATTCTTTCTTCTTGGAGGATATTGCTTCTTTTTTATTGAAAACATGTATTTCAATGGGGGGAGGTCTAATTCTAGTAATTCCTTACCCAAGCTTTATTATCCAGCCAATAAATATGTTTTCACATGATACTGGCTTATTTTCTAATTTGTCTGTAATTTTCATATTTCAAAGAAAGACAAAATGCAAAAGAGGGAGAAGATGGAATTTAAGCCAATCTTTCCTTCCCTGCTCACGCGTATCAGTCTAATGAGAAAAAAAAAAAAAAACCTAGCCCATAATTTTTAAATTTAATTTCTGCTCTTCTGCTCAAAAACTAAATGTCTCCAAAGTTACCCAGATTCAATTGGAAGAGTGTATGAAACGGTCCATACCTCCTGCGGCATACCTCCTATACTGTCGACACAGAAACTACATCACATGCAGTTATAGTAACTAAGGTGATGCTTAATAATTTCAAAGCTGGTTCTGTGCTCTTTAATGAATACTTCTAAAATGGACCAATACTCATCAGCACCTTAAACATGCTTTCTTTTTACATGCCTCCACGTGAAAAGTAAGAGCTCATATTCTTCTGTTCAATGGGGAGATTTTATTTCTGCCCCCATCAAGAAAATGTTCTCTGTTTCTAAAAAGTACCCAATATCGTATTATTATAGTAGGGGAAAGTAGGCCCAGTAGGGATAGATGCCTTAAACTCAGCTGTTTGGTGCAGCCCCAGATCCCCTCATTTCAAACACAGCACGTCCTCGTGGATAGTGAAAGATGCAAGAGTGGCCACAGTCTGAGCCTTTGCTTAACTATCTTATTGCTTAAAATAGGAAATGAACAAATTAGAAAGCAATAGCTAAAAAACATCATTTATAATTTCAACTCTGTCATGGAGATTTGGATTGGGGGAGAAGCTAAATGATCACCTAAAAGGGCTTCTTTCTTTATTCAGAAAATAATGAGCAGAGAAGCAACTAAGATATTTGGTCCTTAAACTCCTGTGCGGCCACAAGCCTTCCAGTCTCAGAAATGACACATCACTCTAAAGTGCTCAGTTACAATCCACAGGCATAGCAAATGGCATGTTCTTAATTTCACCAATTGTAAGACAATATTGAACATGGGATAGGGCTGGAAAACTAGTTTCCTTGTGCATGCTAATTTCAATCAATTGGTAATGGCTGCTCTCTACATTATGTTAAGAAGAGCTCAATAGACACAGAAGAGTACTGTCCCCAATTAGAGATGTTTCCATAGTGCAGGAAGGGGAGTGATGACACATCTGCTACAAATCTGAAAGCTCTGAAATGGATTATGCATGAGCTTCTTTCCAGTGCTGACATTTTGTAATTCCTGAAAAACCAGAGCACAGTGAAATTACCTGGCATGGAATCGCTTCACTCAGGTTTAGATAGATAGCCACTAATCCCACAGACTCTTGGGGAAATGAGCCCAAAGGGCAAATGGACATTCCAAGTAAGAAGAGATAGTGTCAGGTACTTCACAGACAGCCCAAGGCTGACATCACTAGCAGTATCTAACCTTCTAAAGACAGGAACCAGATACAGAACCACTGAGATGTTTCCTCCTGGCTTCCTCATTAGACTTTGTAACTCACAGAGTGATAAAAACTCATTCAGAGCAATGGTCTTCTATTTCTTAGACAATGAAATATTTTGAGACTCTAAAGTGAACCACATACTCTGTTCCCTGAGAAATTTACTTACAAACACACTCATACAATTTAGGAAACTTGTTTCTTTTCACCAGTGTTTGTGGACCACTTAATCTGTGCCAGGTACTGAGCTAGACTGTGGGTAATGCTTGGACATTACAAACCCTTGGTACTTCATCTGTGGGCCAAAGGTTTAAAATGTCTTTTGGAGTGTTATTTAAAACAAAAGGCAATCATCGTTATGATTGTTACCATAATTAGACATCATTAGAAAAACAAAATAGCTAACATTTTTAAAGCCACTATTATTAGTAATGACCAGTGCTAATAAGTAGGTTATTTCTATTAATTGCAACAGTTTTATAAAAGTAAACAGATATATTAGTCATATTCCATTGCTGTGACCAAATACCTAAGAAAAGCAATTTAAAAGAGGAAGGAACTATTTTGGATCATGGGTTTAGAGTATCAGTCCATGGTCATCTGCTCTGATGCTCCCAGGCCCTTGGTGAGGCAGAGCATCACAACAGAGTGGAGGTGGTTAAGAAAAGCTTCTGCCCTTATAGTGGCCACAAAGCCTAGAAAGAGGTGGTGGGCTGCAGATAAGACCTACCTCTAATATTATATACCCTTAAGGACTAACTCCCTTTAACTAGGTCTCCTCAACTAAATTTTCATCGTGTTCCAAGTTTTCATAATGATCACTCAAGTTATAAGCCCATCAAAGGGTTAATCTATTGATGAGGTCAGACTCCTCAGGATCCAGTCACTTCCTCAAAGTTCCACCTCTGTGCACTGCTACACTGGAGATCAAGGCTTTAATAAATGGGTCCTTGGTGGATATTTTAGATATAAACTGTAACAAGAAATAATACACGTTTTTAAACTTTTATATTGCATTTTTATTTTGCAAGAAAATAGTTATACAATTTAAAAAATAAAATCCAAAATTAAGCAATTCATCAAAATATTAAGCAATTCATCAAAATACTGCATACAGAAACTGCTACCATTTAAAACTGCACAGCAATATCATCTCAGTAAAATAATACACTTTTTAAATATTTTATTTATTATTTTTATTTTATGTGTATGTGTGTTTTGCCTGTGTGTAGGTAAGTGCACCCGTGTCGTGCAATGCCCTCGGAGAACAGAAGAGGCTGTCAGATGCCCTGGGACTGGAGTTTCAGACAGTTGTCAGCTGCCATGTGGGTGCAGGGATTCAAACCTGGGTCTTCTGCAAGAACAACCAGTGTTCTTAACTGCTGAGCCATCTCTCTAGCCCCAATAATACACTTTTTAAAAGGATGTAATACATTCCAAACATTTAAAACTGTATCCAAAATGGAACTAATCCTCAATAAATGTTGCTAATATAGTTTAAGTTATTATCAAAAAATTTTATGACTGAGGCCCAGAAATCCTAGGTATCTTCCCAATGTTGAAACTCTGTGATGCCTTCTCTAGTTAGTTATGCTGTCTTCTTTCATTGATAGCTGTCTAGTTGGGTATATGATCACACAAATGAAGAATAAGTGCTCATTGGGGCCGTTAGCCATTCGCTCCAAACACCACTCTCTACGGTTAAAAAAGCTGATACTGTCTGGAATTCAGAAGATACTCCACTCCTTTGTGTATTGAATCATTCACTGATCATTTCTCTGTGAGAGGCCTTGTCCAATACCACGAATTCTGACTCTCAGTATGACCCAGTAAACAGTACTGTATACTATTTTTAAGCATTCTGTAGATATCTATGTATCTGGGGTCTGTTAATGAGAGACAGCGGGCAATTTTAACTTCTGCAATAACCAAACCAGGTCCATGGAAGGTGCCAAAGCCATCAGAAGCCATTAGTAACTGTGAATGTAGCAGTTCCAATAAGCTGTCCAACAACTCAGACACTGTGCATTGCCTTTTACACTCTTACTTCCCATGCCCTAAGGAAACAGGCTCAAAACTTTCTGAAGCTTTGAAACTTAGGTCATAAACTATTTTATGAAGTTATAAAGGCATTCATTAAAAACAATATAAAATCACCCTAAATAACTGTGAAGTCAAACCTCCTCAGGGCATTTTCAGAAACTGAGTATTAAAATCTTACTTGAGTAGAAAATAGAAATGGCAAGCATATTTTACAAATGTTTCAGTACACATTGGAAAACAATTAGAGACTTTAGAAGTCTTGGTTCTAAATAACTTACAGAAAATTTTATAAGATTTTTTATTATTTTTATTTTATGTGTATGAGTGTTTTTACCTGCATGTATGTAAGTGCACCACATCCATGCAGTAACCACAGAGACCAGAAGAGGGTGTCAGATCTCCTGGAACTGGAGTTACAGACAATTGTTAGCCGCTATGTGAGTGCTGGGAATTGAGCCTGAGTACTCTGGAAGAACAAGTGTTCTTGGGCCATCTCTCCATCTCCAGCCCCACATACACAAATTTGTAACAATAATCCACCAATATAGTGAACAGGATTCTGCTATTTTAGTAATTTTAAAATTAGGCTGATCTTAAGGCAATACTGCCTCTAACTTCAGGACATTAAGGAATATGCCAGTTATCTAAAATTCTTTTTTGTTTTTTTTCTTTTGCTTTTTTAACTTTCTATTAAGTTTTTATGCATTTCATATAATACATCTTAATCAAATTTAGACCCCCCTTTCTCGCCCTCCATAGCTTCCCCCACCAGATTTCAGGTACTTGTTGCAAGTTCATGAGCAAGTTCCCAGAGACCTGAAAGTTTCTGTTTCCTTTATGCACCAACCATGGCTCTTACAATTTTTCTGCCCCCTCTTCTGCAATGGTCCCTGAGCTGTGGGTAGGTGAGGTTTAGTATAGGAGTCCTATCCAGAGACACACTCTGAAGTCTTTTATTCTCTAAAACTTAGCCAGTTGTGTCCTTCTGTGTGCATCGTACTCTGTTGTATGAGGAAACTTTGCTGTTGAGAGTTGAGGGATGTGGAGGTAATAAACATTAGATATCTAATTGGACTTAAAGCCCTCTCAATAGTAAGGCACTCATGGGTGGCACTGTAAATATAACCAAATAAGTATGGCTGGAGAAGCCATAAATCCCAGAAAAAGCCTTATCTCTGTAATATCTCTAGACAAATGAAATTTCTTACTTCATGCTAAATACGGATCCTTATATTTACAGACAAGTATACCAAATACCACTCATCATAGAAGGTTCTTTTTGCAACAGATGGAGGCTACTACAGAGTTCCACAACTGGTCAAACACAGAGAATATGAGAGATGCCCAGCCCTAAGTGACACATCTACAGTGGAACTTCTATACCTAAGGCTCATGGAATATAGCAGAACAAGGGGTAGAGAGAAAATTAATGCAGTTATTTAACACTCTTACTGCACCATAGTATGAGGTAACCAGGATAGCAATAGCATAGACAAGAGAAGAAACTGATCCTTAACAAAGATTTGCAGCATTACAA